AGCGGTCAACGCTCCTCGCCTGAGGGGGATTACTCCTGCACCAATCGGCTTGCCGCCTGGACGGGGTCGACCGACTCCGGCCAATCGGAATCCGGGAAAGGGGCGGGACTTCCCCTTTAAACTGAGTGCTACTTTTCCTCTCCAGCTGGAGAAGCTGAAAGATTCGGCTGGGACGGCTGAGGAGGTTAATCCTCCCCACCTGGGTGCCAGAGGTTAGCGTCTACACAGACACCGGGGTCCGGCTTAGGTGAGCTCTCCTCTTCCCGGACCCGCCCCCTCTCCCACCCACGTGTTCTCTCCCGAGTAAATTTCTCTTCCTTCTGTCGGTCCCAGAAAGTACTGTGGGTTACCTGTACACGGACCAGCATACAAAGTCATCTTCCTTTCTGCCTTAATGTTTCACCACACAAATCCCAGTATCACAAATCCCACGACCACATGCATCAAAACATCCAGGCTCTGAGAGAGAAGGTCCTGATTTTACAGGACATAAAACAGAGGTTGTAATAAAATCAAAGCACATGTTGAGTATTAAATTACTTGTTGAAGGATCCGGTGCTTTGGCGGGAAAGAGATAGGATGGGACATCGATAAGTAAATTTGTCCATATAGCCAAAAAAAAAATATATGTGTGTGTGTGTGTGTGTGTGTGTGTGTGTATGTATACACACACACACACATGTCCATACACACACTATATTCTTTTCCTTTAGAAATACGTTACAGGTAAAATTGTACAATTAATTTATCCTACTTATAATCTAGATCGATGAAAATCATTTAATAGGAAAACATTAGAGACAGTCTGGCGAGCAATACCCAAAATTTGCTAATAATGTAACAGCTTCCAAAAACAAAAGTCTTCCTTGGAGTCAGTTAGTGAAATGTTTACTCTAGCAAGCACCCATTTAAAAAGACAAACAGTCCAGTTTCTAACAAAGGACTCTTTTTGTCCTGAAGGGGCAGTTGCTTTCTTTAGAGTTTCCTTAGACTAACTCAGGGTTTTATTCCAATATTGCAAGTAAGTTTTCAGAACTCTTTTGGAGAGACAGCATTCAAAGACTGTGTTGATCCTTAACAAAAAGTCAGTAGTGAGTAATTGTGAAAATTAGTAAACTGTCCCTTGATTAGCTCTATGAAAGGATATTTCCTTTTCTTCAAGATCCAGACCCAGTCGGTTTTTGTTGACTTTTTAATTAATTAAATTTTTTTTTTTGACAGGATCTTTCCTTGAAATTTAGGCTGGCCTTGAACTCACTATATAGCCCAGGGTGGCCTGGAAATCATGGCAATCTTCTTGCCTCAGCCTCCCAAATGCTAAGATTAGAGGCATACACCACAATGTCCAGCTTGCTGCCTCTCTATCATGTCTTTGGATGGCCATTTCCATCCTCACTGCCACTGCAGAGCCAAAATTATCTTATGTCTGGACTGTTACAGATGCTTCCCAGTCAATATCCCAACCTATAGTCTCTCACTTTTCCCATCACCAGAGTCACTAACCATCAAAGTCTTACAAAGCTCTCCTTCTTTGTTTAACAAACCTTCAGCAGCTCATGAAAAATAAAATTCTTTATTTGGGATTTAAGGATCTACAGCGGGGACCCAACCTTGTTCTCCAGTTGGTCCCGGCAAATTATTCATCAGCCCTTCTTCAAACCTGGGTCCTGGCTATTGATTATGCATGCTGATTTGTTCACTTATAATTCTCTCTCCGTCTAAATTCATACCAGAAAATACTGCTGTCCCCTAAATGGCTGGAAAGGCCACAAAAGGCACACGTAGTCTTCTGGAGTGATGTTCTACTCTGGCTGGGTGTTAGTTACATAACTAGTATATTCAATTTGTGAAAAGTCAGTGTACACACTTTATGTATGAGCTATACTTTAATAAAGAAAAGTTGTGCTTTTTAAAACATACACCCTTTTCAAATGCCTCCCTCTAAGAATCTTCCCTGGTCACTCAGCTGAAAGTAATCTCCCCCGATCCTCTGAATATTTCTGTTAGAGTAATTATACCTCCCATTTAGTACTAACACATAGAATCTAAAGTCACTGTTGGACTTCAGACTCCTTAAAATCAGAATAGCTGATACATATTTGAATTTCCTAGAATGCTAGCATGTTACATGTGTTCAAAAAGTATTTCCAAGTGGGTCAACATTCTTTGTGGTTACTAATGTGAATTTTGGTTGCTTGTTCTGTGCGTTCATGTGGCCTTGTGAGGACCCCTCTCAACTGTGAATGCAAGTAAAATGACCTAGGGCTGTGTTGCTGCTCCAATACTTGTTCTTTAATCAGTTCTTTCATTCAGGACTTAAGATAAGCACTGGCTTACCATCTAGTCCCCCAACTAAATCTTAAATGTTAATTGTCTTCAGTAGCACTGTCTCCCCTATGTAATTGGCTGTTGAGTTAATTGCAGCCTTATGCTGTCTTGGTGTCTCCTGGAGCATCCTAGTTATCATAGCCCTGGTGATTGGCATCTTTTCAGTTGTTGCTGGAGAAAGCAAACAGACAGAGCCACAAGTATAGCTTGCATCAGGTTCCAAAAATGTTAGGCAAGTTATTTTTATGAACTGTCTGCATGATGTCCCCATGATGTCCATGTCCAGTGGCCTTTGTGGATTTTTCCAGACTAGAAACTTGATAGTTGGTGTCTGCTTATTCCCATTTAAGAGCAGCTGAGTAAACAGCACTGGTGTGAATAGGCAGTAAAGTTTTTTATATTGATCTGGAAGCCCCTTCTTTGAAGCAAATGCACTATTATTAGAGTTCAGCCAGACAGGTTTGATTTGGTTTTGTTCATTATTATTACTATTTTTTATTTTTATCTTCTCTTAACAGAAAGGGGCACTTACCAAACCTAAATGGATTTTTGTTACCCTATTGAATCTATATGAAATACTTTTGTTGTTGTTTTTTACAATATATGCAACGAAGAAGGATAACGCACTTTTTAAATTATTTTATACAGACATCTGTTTTTTGAAAAATGTCAAATAATACAAAAGGGTACAGTTAGTCTCTTTATTATCCCTTTGGCCCCTGCTACCAGGAACTTGTGTTCTATACAAAGGAACAAAGCTAGCATAGATAGCCAACTTTGACAACAACTTACTAAACTGTATAGTAGGAGTGAAAATGTGAATGGTATTCAGAAAGGAAAAAGATCAGAAGATATACTTGCATAAAGTACTTGCTATCCCAAGATTGGGCCCTTGGGTAGACATGGGTAAGAAGTAACACCAGGCAGGCAGAAATACCAGGAGTCCTATCAGAACAGAGGAAAAAACACAATTGGGAAATGCATACTGATAACTCAGATGGTGCTAATGACAAAGATGATATCTTTGAAGAATGAAGAATGAAGGTGCCAAATCTAAAATTTATGCAGAAAATGATTTCTTTCCAAACAGGAAGAGCTCTTTCCAAGTAAGCTTGGTTTATGAATTCCATGTCCATTTACTTCCTGGGGAACCCAACCAATAAAGCCAGGCAATAGTTCCATGGAGGAACCCAGAACATCATTCTCTCCTAGTTCAGATGCCAAAGAAAATAGCAATGAGAGCCGCATGCAGCCACAGTCATGAGGAAGGGCACCCCCACCCAGAGCTCCTACAGCAGCCCCAAGAATGAGAGACTCGAGGCAGTTCTCATGCCCTCTTCTCGCCACATTCAAAACTAGAACACATTGCATAAGAGAGCTTTAAAAAAATAAATAGGTCATCTTTGGCCCTAGTTTTATAACCATCTGCATTTCTAGTAAGCTGTCCAATGATTCCATCCTGGAAAACTAGAGTGGGAAGAAGAAAAGTGGGGAGAGGAGATAGCTTCTGTGAACACAACCTCCTTGTGGGAGGATTACTCAGTACTAAAACCTCTAGGATGTCAATTCCCACTTACAGAAACAACTTCTTTAATCTCCCCTGCTGAGGGTTGTTTTGTGTTTAACAATCTGAAGTTTATCAATTATCTCTAGAACAAGGCTGCTTTCTACCCATCTCCCCATCTTCCTTGACATTTACAGACTGTCATTAGTCTAAGACGCATGGGTTGTGCTGTCAGTTTCAATACAGAGAAAGAGAGCAAAAAAGCAAGGAGGATCATGGTCATGAACGAAATTAGACTTGCCCAGTATGTTGACCTCATACTTTAAAGCAGTTGAGATACCCACCATTATTTCTTTGGTTTCAAGTTTAATGTCAAGAAAACCCAACTGGTTTCACTTGGTAAAAATTAACTTTTGTTATCAAGTCTCAGTTATACAAAGCTCCAGAAATACCACTGCCTTCCTTTTATTGAGAAGATTGGTGATGCTGTGAGACTATGGTTCAAGGCAGAAGCTCTCAATTAACCTTTTAAAGCCTGGAGCCTAGATAAACACCAGGAATTTGGTTCAGGGATCAGTAACCATCTGATTCCGTAGGAAACTTTCTAGGACCTTGGAGTTTTCTTATCTTGGCCAGGATACCAGCATATGTATAAGCAATGAGCCAAAAGACTTAAAACTTTGGCACTGTGGAGTAGGTTGAATAGAAAAGCTTCTTAATTTTGAGTTGAAAGTACTACAAATAAAATCTGTCTATCATTTGAAAAGATACCTTTATTTGTCCTGCATACACTTTCCCTTCCAGCTCTCCAAGAAATTTTTCAAAGTCCTGGCAAGATACTCTTAGTAAATACTCTTGACTGAATGATTCAATTGTGAGTAAATTATGTGGCTGAGTTAATACTCTCAGTTACTCTGTGCCACGCTCTGCTACCCATCCTAACAACAGTAAACTCCAGAAAAAATAAATAAAGCTAAGTATCATATCCAAACGCACTTTGAAAATTTCTCAGTTTTATGATGGCTTGTTCAGTCACAATCTTATAGTCAGTTAAACTGAAACTGCTGTTGACTATATTGGTTTAAGTTATGCTGAAAGAAGGGTCATAGGTAAAATACTGGATAGTTACATGTTCTAAGAAAGTTATATGTAAGCATATTTGTTATATATTATGAATTATATTTCATGTCATGTGAGAGTGTCCTATTTTATATTTTAATACACTATTTTGAATTTTCATCTATTATCCTTACAGATCTGTGCAAATCCTGATTTTCCTCTAAACATTGAAGCCTTAAGTACAGATACAATGTGTATCTTAAAAGGCTAATCTTAAAAATTAGTTACGCTCAGGCCAGGGATTTGGCTCAGTGGTTCCGCTGCCTGCTTCACAAGCACAAGGGCCTGAGTTAGAT